GAAGTGGAGGGAGGCCGTTGGCTTACTTCTTTTAGCCGGTGAAGCTTCGCGCGCTGTTTCTTGCTGCATCTCTCCCAGTGCATCGCGTTCATTTAAAGAAGCATCCTAAAAACGCTTGCAAGGTGAGAATTCAGCTGAATGTAAGCACAAGAAGAATTTTTTTGTAAGAACAAGAACATGTAAGCAAAAAAAAAAAACAAAAACAAAATCAAAACAAACAAGCAAGCAAAAAAACAAGCAAAAAACAGGCAAAAAAACAAAAACGAAGAAACAAAAACAAACAAAAACAAGAAAATGTAAGCAAAAGAAAAAGCAAAAAAAGAACAAAGCAAAAGAAAGGAATTTTTGGCAAGCGAAAAAACACTGAAACAACTTAATACCTCATGCGTCGGCGGGTCACTAGTGCTTTCAGCCGCAATCGCGCATACCTCATCGTACTCGGCCATCAAGTGAGCAACGGGCTGCTAAAATAATTGTGGAATTGAATGAAGGTGAAGCAGTCTGGAGGATAATGGATCAAAGACAAAGTCAAAAGATCAAAACCCCCTCCATATTTCGTTTTCAGTGAGAGCTGACTTGGAAAGTAGACTGAATAATAGCAAATGCCAGAAGCAATCACTCGCTGGCAAGACTGTCGATGGCTCCCCATTCTGATGGTTGCTTAAAAGCAAGCTGATGGCGGAATGGTAAAAAAATCCTGTTTCAGTTTCAGTTCCATAAAGAACTCGAAATGTGAATGCGCAAGCGACAGTGCTTCTGATATAAATACCGGCGCGCACCAGAGTAGCCATGCGCATTTCCAATCAGTGGATGTTTGTTTGCTAGGAATTTTCATTGTTTTATACTTTAATCTACGCAAAAATAGTCGATATCCTGTCCGGTTCCTGGGCTACGAAATCTCCCGCTAAAAATTTCACGTTTCGGAACGCAAGACATAAGCATCTATATAAAAGCTGAATTTGAAGTCTTGGGGATGATGAACATCCCTCAAAAATTTCAGTCTTTTTTTTTTCTGGCTTCAAGTGACTATCACGCCACGACTTTCACGTGATCGTGCGTGGATCTCAACATACCTGGGAGCTAAATTTGGGTTTGTGAGTCATGATATCAAAGCACGTGGAAGGGCTACATTTAAATTTACGGGATGTTCAGGGGGCATTCAGCTACAGTTTCAGTTTTCGGTTTTTACAGTTTCAGTTTCACTTTCACCAAGTCTGCATGGTACCGAGCGCACAGGAAAGCTGAATTTAAATTTGCCCTGGGCGCACTTGGGCAGAGGATATCAGCCTAAAATTTCAGCTTCCTAGCTTTGGCTTTTCCCAAGTAGAAAATGCAGGACAAGGTGCAAACATACATACACATACACAACACACACACACCCGCAGACAGACAGATAGACAGAGGAGTGACAATATGTGTTTTGTGCTGCTATTATACAGTACAAAATGCATAAAAAGCTCAAAATAAAGGCCATATACATATATAGTTTTTGTCCTTTATTTATAAAACTAAATGGCGGGAAATTATGTATAAAACTAAAAATGTATAAAACTAAAAGGCGGAAAATTCTCCACGAAGTAACTATAGAAAATGCTTTGACTGGGTAGCGAATTCTGGTTTAGAAGTGGCACAGGGAGTGCGCGGTTTATGAAAATCCGTAACTGCAAGCATGTCAAGGAGACATCGTGCTACGAATCCGTACCAAAATGACAAGCAGCTGGTAATGTTATGAAGGTTACGCAGCCATGATGGCAAAAGCGCTACACAACACCTTACGAGGGACAAAATATGAGGAGAAAACAAAACGGGCCCTCGTATCTTGATGATAACAGATAGGCAACAAAGAACCTCAAGTGCTGAACGGGTAGCGGGACAGGCGAAGGCCTAGACCATACAATAGGCACCCAAAATTGTAGGTCGCTATTGAGAATGAGTTCATAACCCGTCTTTTCCAGGAACTCGACTGGATATCATGCGAAGCTTTCAGTCTGCGAGCGTGCGTTTTAACTCAACGGAAGACCGAACATACCGTAATCTGGAGGGATGGCCAAGCCGTTTTTGATTTTTTGAAAGAAACTGAAGGGGAACTCGAGCGATACATTAAACAACAGAAATAAATATATGCACCAATTTTTCAGCGTTCACCCATGCGGCATCCTCTTCCGGAACGCCGTACCAACACACTAGGTACTGCGTATGGCCGTCATGAGAACGCCTGCCGATAAGTTTGTCCACAATCAGCCCGTCGATCAACGCATCATCGTTCCTCGTTGGTGGTGGTGGTGGAGCAACGAGTCCTAGCCGGTCAGCGCTTCGTCGTTGTTCCTCAATCTCCTTCGACACTGAAACACGCCCGCACAAATTCACTATGGCTCCAAATGGTGGTGAGCTACAGCAGGAAGGCGAACACAACAAACTCCGTGAAAGTTTCGGCCGGGAAAATTATTATTTCGGGAATCTAAAATTTTACGGCGACATTAATAAGCATGATCGCACCGGTTCGATGGACGGAATTGCATAAAATTCATGATCGCACCGGTTATTCTAATGCGCGCTGCTATTTATTATGCATTTCCTACATCTATGCAATGCAGAAAACACATATTGACGAGGGGTTGTCTGTGTGTGTGTGTGTGTGTGTCTGTGCGCCTGGGTGTGCGTCCCTCACGGTTTCCATCTCAAGACTTACAAAAGCTACAGGGCTGAAAGTTTGGGAACTTAATCTACATGCGCGTACGGGCCCAATCCCGAAAATGAGCTCTCCTACCCAAGTGATACTCACGTACGGGCCCGTCAAAGATTTTGGCAGAGAAGCTGATAACTCGGGAATCAGAAAAGATAGAAAGCTGAAATTTTGACGAGATATTCCTCATCCATATGGTATTAATGAGCTCAAAACCAGCTCCCGGGTATGCGTGGTTCCCACACACAAGCCCGTGAAAGTTTTTTCGGGTAAGTTACTAACTCGGGAATCTGAGAAGCTAGAAGATCGAAATTTTAAAAGGATGTTTACCAACCAAGTAGGTATTAATGAGCTCAAACCCAGGCCCTGGGTGTGCGTGGTTCCCACATACGGGCCCATGAAAATTTTTTTCCGGGTAAGTTGCTATCTCGATAACTTGTGAAGCTAGAGGATTGAAATTTTAAGGGAACGTTCACGTAGGTGTCAGTGAGTTCAAATCCAGTCCCCGCGTGTGCTTGGTTCCTATGCACGGATTCGTGAATCTTTCTGCGAGTAATTTGCTAACTCAGGAACGAGGAAATCAAGAAAGCAAAGATTTTAAGGGGGTGTTTCATGTCGGTACCTGCCGGTCAGCCTTAACTCGTTTAGCTAGAAGCATCTGCAGGAAAAACCGGTGCCAAGAGCAACAAAAACCTGCGAGGAACTATGTAAAAAACGTATCTTCGCACCGTCAGTTCGTGCGCAGCTACTAATTTTTTTTTTCAGTGGTATCTCAGTGTGAGAAAATATTTTGATTTTTAACTTTTCAAGTAAATCTACATAGCTCATCATTCACTCCCTTTTTCTGATGACAGATTTACATATATCTGAGAAAAAAGAATGGCAGTCAAAAAATCTTACTACCAGTGACGAACAGTGTAAGTGCTGTAATTTGGCTATTGTCCATCTATGTCAGTTTGTTAAAAAAAACTGGACTATAGGAAAAAAGGGTGGGAGCGAGAGGAAAGGAAGGGGGAGGCAGGGGACAAAGGACGGGGTGGGGGCAGAAAGCGGGGTTCGATTTCGAAAACAGTAATCAGTTAAGCATACTTGAAGGAATTTGTTGTTTTCTTCTTTTAGCCGGTAAAGCTTCGTGCACTGTTTCTTGTTGCATCCGTTTCGGTGCATCGCGTATAGTTGAAGAAGCACTCTAAAAACACGCGCAAGGTCAGAATTCGAATCTTTTTGTAGACGAATGTAGGTGAACAAAGCAAAAGAAGGAATTTTTTGCAAGCGAAAGTTAGAACACTGGAACAACCCGATACCTCGCTCGCCGACGATTCACTAGCACTTTCAGCCGCAATCGCGCATACCTCATCGTACTCGGCCATCAAGTGAGCAACGGGCTGCTAAAAT